GGTGAAGAAGAAGAACAACATGCATAAAGATGGCAATGAATAAACAAATTTTTTTTTCTGGCAATATTAAAAATTTTGTCGTGTATCTCTTTATCTTCATACATTTATTCTATGGTTTGTTCGTTGTACTTTCATGATTAATGTCACACGTGCTTATTCGTTATAAAATATGCTTTTTTTTCATTCATTATTCTTAACTAAAAAATAAATAAATCTTATAGGATAAATACTATTGCACGTCTATCGTATAATCGAATGAATAGGATTTCCTTGACGGATGTAGGATAATAATATTGTAAAATACTATTCTGATGAATATTAAAAAGCAAGTGAACAATAAGGCACGTAGTTTGTGACGTGTCTTCGGTAATATTTGACATTCAACAGTCTACAATGCTCATTTCTTCTATCAGAAAAGACGTTATTCAAAGGATTCAATTGTTTTTTTATAGACAAATGTTATCAAGATCTTCTGCATATTAATTAATCTGATGAGTATCCAATGGATTAACAAATTACGGTTGGAATAGGATTTTAGGTCACGCGCAGTGTTCCAAAAGAAAAACGATATGAGTTGATTACAAATAATTCTTAAGTCAAATTCATCCATTCACATGGACGATAGTCCTCAGATAGTTTTTTCTATATGTAAATGTATGTGTTTTCTACTATAGCCAATAAAACATCTACGTTCATTTGTCTGTATCAGCAGGAAGAAAGAACGATAGTTACGAGTTGTTTTCGCCGACGAGGGTAACCGAAACGCTCTATCCTTTTTCTTTTCTTATTCTCTCTTTCTCTCTCTCTCTCTCTTTTGATTTTATATTCTTATTTAACTAAAGCCATAAATACTACTCTATTGGATATATTCGTTTGCTTCATCGTCGTCGGCTATAAAAGTTACACAATTCTTTTCTGATTGCTCCTCTTGTAACAGTTCGCTTGACTTTTTCTCTATAGACTTTATATAATAAAATGCGTGAAATCGTTCATATTCAAGCTGGTCAATGTGGTAATCAAATTGGTGCCAAAGTAAAAACATTAAATCCGAAAACAAAATATCTTACAAATATCTTCATTAATTTTCTAGTTTTGGGAAGTTATTTCGGATGAACATGGTATCGACCCAACAGGCGCATATCATGGAGATTCTGATCTTCAACTTGAACGAATCAATGTTTAT